GTATCCCAAGAATTTAACATGGGCCTTTAACTTCGATCAAATTACCTTGATGAAAGGACTTATCAAAGGAGGAGCAAGGCAAGCGTTGAATCCCAAGAAGTTTTGCGAAGTTTACCATTTTATAATTATCTCAAATATATAATGAAATAATCACTACAGATATGTCAACAAGAATAATATGTTTTTGAATTGACATTTTACTATATATCTTTGGAAGTTCACGGTTGTCTCCACTGTTTTTAACGTTTTATATTTTTCTCTGTCAACCAAGCATTAGAATTTTCTGTCTTGATTTACTGGAAAATATTGGAAATATTGTCACCTGTTCAATTTGAGAAATCCATTATCGCCCACACAAATTTATTCACCGTAAACAAGTAACGACTTAAGTATAAAGAATCAAAATTTTCCTAAATTGTGACTAAAAATATAAATAAAATTTGACAATATAACAATGAATGATGCTACCAATTCTGATGATGACTTCTTCACAATTATTCCTGAAAACCACTAGGCGAAGAAAAATTAATGTGAAAATTATAATTAATGAAGCATTTTTATAAATAAAAAACATTCGATATTTTATTGCAGAATGATCATAATCAATAGATTTATTGGAAGTTTCTACAATTCGATGAAAAGAGTCAAATTATCTAGGGTTTCGCCAAGCGAGCGGCCGCGGCCAGGGCATGATGGCAGCACTTAGGGTCATATCCGAACTCATGTTCGCAGCACGGAGGCAGACCAAATGCATGACCACCCTTCAACAAAGCCATGGAAATGGTGACTAGTAAAGCTGCCACCACCATCTTCTTCATAACAAATTTCTTAAGAAATCCTTCCATATCAATACTCTTAATTCAATTTATTTTCTCTCCTTCAGTATGCAATTTGTGTGAGAGTGTCTATAAATAGGTTGATGTACATTCAATGATCAGAGATTCTATGCATAGACATTTATTTGCTGTTACATTTTTTCCATATTTAATTGTTAGTAAATTTGATAAGATTATATGAAATTCTATAAATATATTCATTATTTATGCTGAATTCATAAAACAACCAGACAGATCTGTTTGAATATTGACATATACGACCGCTGTACAGGTAAGCCAGCCTGTAATATTCTGTCAAATATGAATATCCTTGATAGTCAAATATATTTTAAATCCAGAAGGAACTCTAGTTGAAGAAGAATGGAATAATCAGATTGGTAAAGAACGGTCCACGTGAGGCTTATATTCAAGAAGAAAAAACAGTGAGTGAATTCATCCAAGTTCATCCAAAAAATTGTATGGTCTCGGAGAAAAAATTTAGAGCTCTCCAAATATAGAACTAAGTAATCTCTGTCACTATTTAATTGACATGTGTATGAGTTTCAATTATTTAATACACGTGTCAATTAAAACAGTAGTAAAGAGTATCGAATACTCCATGCTCTTAAGAGTAGGATAGATAGATCAAGTTGAATCCAAGAAATTTTTGGCATACTGAGTCTAGAAGAAAGGGTCGTCCGAAAGCTAGCAAGGTCGGTACACAATTCCAAGTCCGGTGTCTCGACTTGCCTGTCTCACTGCTAAAATTTTGACTTCTCAATATTGAAAATTGTAATGAGGTCTCAAAAATCCAGCGATGACAAGCGTTATATTTACTAGCTTAATTGCATATGTTGTTATTTAAATTTAACACTTAATTTTATTTTGCGTATCTAATTAAAATTAGATGGAGATGGTGGAATGAAGGCAGGAAGTTGCTTTAATCATGCGGAATCATCAGTTCTCAATGATAAAACCACCAAACTGATTATCATCAAAACTATGATTCACTTTTTTGCCTTTCTGCTTATCTGAAATAAAAAAAAACACTAAATAATCGTTAAACGATAAACCCACGTCAAATAAATATAAAAATATTAAGCAACATATAAGGGATTGGACTATTACTCTTAACAAGATTAACACTAAGTCGTAATAATAACAACAACCATTGCAGACTAAAATAAAAATCTCGATAGCGAAGAGTACCGCGTTCTGAGTAGAGCACGAGGATGTAGAGATCTAAACCACCCTCATCCTTGTTTTGCTGCGTGTCAACTAGGCTCTCGCTCAAATACATACATCCTATATAAGAGTCATGTGAATAGGCTAAGCAGGAACAATTCCTTAAGCATAGACTTTTACACTCGTTTTCAGGAACAGATGACCACTGAATAAAGTCGGGCACTTTCACCATCGTCAACCTTTGGAATATGTCCTCTCTGCTTTTATCCATCGCGTTATTATCTCTTTCACACTGTAACAACGTCTTTATCTTACATCTACAAATCCAATTCCCTCCATCCCATTCCGGCTTGTTCTTTGGTTCATACCCTCTTAACATTGACATATTGGCGAATTATTTTGGTTACAGAACCCAAATGGCCCACATTTGTTATATTTATCACAATCAACGTGCGGACCCTTGCCCAATATATCCCAGCCACCAATCTGATTATTCCATTCTTCTTCAACTAGAGTTCCTTCTGGATTTAAAATATATTTGACTATCAAGGATATTCATATATTTCTCAGAAGAATATTGAATTATTATTCTTGGAAAAGGGTAAATTTAAAATCAACATCCGAAAGAATATTGTGTTATTAAAACGAATCAATATTATACCACAATATTTTTATGTTGTTCTTGTACAGTTACGATTTTATGCATATCAATTTTTTAAAAAATTGCATTAATACTCCACAGGAGCACTGTACTATTATCTATATTTCAAAATGTTATGATGTTGTTGCTTCTAATAAATCATACCTTAATATGAAGAATCTCGAGTTAATGTTACTGAAGAAACACAACCTAAATAAATAAATATTCATGAAGAAATCAATATCTCATACAAATTAATATTCTAAATAATATTGTGCTAGTCCCAAAGATTAACTTTATACCAATATAAATCTAATAAATGTGTTAATTCTCCTATAGAAACAATTTATATACAAATATTTCGCAATACTGGAAGAATATTGGGTTATTGTTTTAAAAAAATGGTTTTATTCATATTAGTATTTCAAAAAAAAAAAAAAAAGTTAGTATGCTTATACTCTTCAAAAAATATGATTGTATACAAAATAGTCAAATATCTGTAAAGAATATAAAGGTGTTCTTGAAGAAACACAATATACATATTTAAACATCCTACAATGTTTTTAAATATTTAATTATGGTACATGATAAATTAATTTTTTTGTCAATTTATTAAAGTGTATGTATTCCCATAAATACATAGAAATAGATAGGAAAAGAGAAAAATACAGTTTCTTCATTTATATATGTTTTGCATGTTTAA